AAATAGAGATCTGTAAGTCTTAGAAATGTAAACAACAGGTAAAAAATAACTTTTATAAAGTCCAGAAGTCTAAATTTGCAGAAAAATTACAATTTATTAGTACTGATGTTAGATATACTGAAGGAGAATGTATATATTGTTTTTAGTGTATAAAACAAAGTTATTTATATGATACATTTACCATTATAATAGAATGAAAAATGTAAAAATGTGTTTATTTTTCATGAGGTGTAGGAAGTGGCTGGGAACTAAAAAAAAAAAAAAAAAAAAAATTGGTATGGCAAGCCTAGCAATTTGTAGGAAAAAAATGGTGTTTTTTGGGAATAATAATTATTAGATATCTCTACAGCCATGAAAACTTTGAGGTCCACACAGATATGTGAATATTTTCTCCTGTTATCCCAGAACACACACAGTTCCCAGTGGCTTTCCACTCGGAGATACACTCCAATGGAAGCCCTCAGTATGAGACAGAGGGGAGACGATGGTCGGGACCAACAAAGCACCTGAGGTTTGAATTTGCACACATCCTTGAGCATCCTTTCTTTGGAGTTCCATATTCTTCAAACTGCTTGGTACTATTCAGATTTGTTCCATAAACACAAGTAAATCTAACAAAAAAAAAAGCAAAATAAGACTTAGCAGTAAAGCTGTTGGATAAATGGCATTTTAAATCATTTTTACTCCCACTGATAGAGATGTCTTCGGCTCACTGCCACCTGAGAGCAGTAATAAATATTTATAAAGTACTCTGCTGAGATGTTTGAAACATCACACTGCTCCAACAGGCAATTTCAGGCTAGAGCGAAATGGGCAGGATAAAAGGTAAACAAAATAAACTTCAGACTAGATCACTTGTCCACTTACTCTGTTCTAAAGGAAACAAGAGTAACATTCTCAATTTCTACTGCTGGGTGGAACTTCCACATTACTAAAAATAAAATCTCCTCACAAGTTAAGTGGTTAGAAGAATGTTCTTAATCCTCTACAGGTGAGGCAAAGAGTTTGCCTGGTATAGTTCCCCTGAGCCCAGGAATGGAAAGCCAGGGTAGTTTTTTATTCTTTATGCTGGTTTGTCTGTCTCTTATCAGACTTCTAGTTAGAAAAATGTTTCCATTAGGAGAAAGTTTCCACACCCCCCCTCAACTTAAAATCTGCTTAAAATCTCACAGCAGACCCACTATTCTGGAGAGTATCACTATACCGGAAGTTGCAAAAAGGAGAAAAATCTGTTGTCTGGTGCTTCGGCTTTGACTACTTAGCAAATAAATAAATAAATAAATAAATAAATAAATAAAACAGTAATCTTGAAGGAATAAAGAAAAGTTAAAAGTGTCACTCACTTCCACCAGTGAATATAACTAAATATGGATATCCTTCAGTAAAAATAATTTGCCTCTTAACCCAATTGACATGTCCAAATATTTGTCCTATAGTTGAAAATTCATTTTCTTTCTTAAACAAGAATTCAGCCTGCTGATCACCCATTTTCCCTATGCCATCCTTATTATTTAAATGACCTTCCTTTTGATCATTTCTAGTTTTGGGCAAATCAATGGAATTATTTGAAAATCTATCATATATAGTAAACTGCACTCCCTCTTTCAGAAATTCTTTTGAATTCTATCCTGATTGTCGTGAAAGGATGTTAGGGTATAGAATAGGAAAAAATACTTAATATTTTGTTTAGTTTCAACAAGTAATTCCTCTAATGAAGGACTCAGTTTGAAGACACAGGCACTTGGCAATGTTACTACCTTTGCCCCAAAATATAGCCTCTCATCTGCTCCTGTGGGGTCAAAGCACTCAAGCATTTGCCTCCACTTACCGAGCACCCTACCTCGTCTTCAGAACATCAAACTCTTACCTTTTCCAGTCTCTTAGCAGTTAACTGTTGCTTTGCCTCGGGATCTAGATCTTATACATTTGAAGACAGAAACTCCTGATTTTGCACGTTGGATTTACTTTGTCCTACACCTTTTTTTTTTTATAATAGAGACACAGCCCTTTTAATTTAATTAACAAATACACAAATTTCACTCAATACCCACCAACCATCTCTCTCTCTCTCTCTCTCTCTCTCTCTCTCTCTCAGAACCTAATAACTGGGTCTCAGCTCTGATAAAATTTGCATTATGAAAATTTTACTCTAATAGATTTGTTTTATAGAACATCTTCACTAATATTTTGCTGTACCTACCTTAGCGATATAGTTCCAGGACCAGCTATCTATTGTTGTTATGTGGGATTTAATTTAGTTTATTTGGCTTATTAACGAACTTACACTTCCTCCTTCCATCTCATGGTCTCTCCCTTTGTTCTATTCTTTTTTGTTTTCAACCAAATCCCTGAGTCTTTAAAAGAATTTCTCATTTTCCAACTAAATAAAATATGTGAAATTTTCAACATGTGAAAATTTCAAAATCCAACAAATGGCAATATTAGGCAAGTAATAAAAATACTAGATATATTGCTTTAAACCTGAAGAGCAAAAATTATTAACTTTATATATATGTATATATGTATGTATGTATGTATGTTTGCATTTGACCTCAAACTATATTTTAAGATTCAAATCAAAATTTTAAGTTTTCCAAACACAGACACTTTTTAAAGGGCTTTTGCATTTTTCATACACATCATTCTAAATGGGTCAACAACTGAAATTGTGCTTCTCTCATTTTTCAGAAGATTTATCAAAACATGTTAAACACACAGGCAAAACAATTTTTAAAAAATTTTATTATTACATTCATTTCCAGTAGAATACATTCATGGCACTAGCAGGTCTATTCTTTGAAATGGCCATTCCTCTATTTACATAGCTTTTCACCTCTCAGAGGCTGGCAATTTAAGAGTTGTTATTAAAAAAAATAATTTACATAGATGCTGATTTCCCCCAAGGATTAAATATCTAAAACAAATTGTATAACCATATTGTTGACACTTTATATTCTACTCTTCTATCTTAACATTATGAAAACCTGGAATTTTACAATGTAATCTTAGAATCTGTAAGTATTAAAAGTATATTTGAAATAAAACAACCTCCAGACACTCTATTTCATCATAATCCAGGTACATTAATTTCCATATACTTATATAGCTTGGATTTATTATGTATCTAACTAAATGTTCTATGTCAGTTTTAATTTTGTTTAAATTCTTGATACCAATAAGATTCATCAACTTCTAAGAAAATCACTGTTCATTTGTAAAATAAAGTTTTATCTGACAAAGTTATCTTTTATTTAAGTTAAATAAATGTTAAGTATCTAAAATTTTAATTAACAATATTTGGTAAGTTAAACTTATTCTTTTAATTTTGTCTATATATATTTTCAGTCATAGCTTCTAGTTGCTATTACAGGGAGAATAGTCCTCTGCATTATATAGTACAGACTCTTGTAATTAATTAGTTATATAACTTTCACTAATTAGTTAAATTCACCTTTCACAATTTCCTTTTCCTTATCTATAAAACAAGGAAAGTGAATTTCATATATTATCCTTAAGGTCTCTTCCAGTTTTAACATACATTAGTAAAGAGCCAAATTATACAAATTTTTATGTTCATATACTACAATACCTTTTAAATGAATTTCAAAATAGCCTTATAAAATATGAGTTTCTATGTTACAAATTTGTGAACTAGTATGTTTTGCTTTATCCAGAATCTTACCGATTCAGCTCTAAAATATACTTATTTTATCAAGGCTTCTTAGAATTTGTTGAAATAAGGTCAAAGCCCAGATATATCTGAGCATAATAAATATTATTGGTAATGATTATACAATTTTTGCTAACGCAGATGCATCGCTCATCACAAAATGAAATAAAGCCAATGTTTTAAATTAAATACGTAAATCTGCCTGGGACTTACTTATTTAATATCTGATCTTTGAGGAGAATTCCTTTCAAGTTTAATTTCAGTGTAAAAGCAGAGAATCTTGATTTGTCTTAATAACAGCTTTAGGTATAAGCAGCATATAAAATGTATTAATTAATTTTAGGTTTAAAAGAGAGGTCCCAGATACAATAGTATGACTTTCTCCTTCATGAGAGTATGGTATTGAAATCACTAGTAGAGTTAATTATTAAATTAGAAAATTCTTAAGACTGGTCAAATTAGACAAGTGGCAACACTATTAACACCCTCACTGCTAGAAAATGGAACCCCAAGGAAAGAGCTTGTGGGACTACAATGGGAAGATGCGCAAAAACTAGATATTGACAACTTAAAGGTAACAAAAGGACTAAAAAATCAATACAAGCGAATACAAGCTAAAAATTCATTAAAATTATTTTGTTTCATTTATCAAATCAGGAACTTTCTTCCTCATCAGTTTAATGCTTAAAAGAGGCACTAAAAGTTATGCACATCTCCAGAACATACTTCTTTCCAACGTGATGTCTCTTATTAGAAAAACAATTTTGTGAAGACTGTGAAAGACAACCAAGAAAAAAAGTTCAGAGAAGGCTGACCTAGATTTAACAACAAAATCTGAGGCAATATTGTAATTTGTAAAAATATGAATTCTGGGCTGGGCGCGGTGGCTCAAGCTTGTAATCCCAGCACTTTGGAAGGCCGAGGCGGGTGGATCACGAGGTCACGAGATCGAGACCATCCTGGTCAACATGGTGAAACCCCGTCTCTACTAAAAATACAAAAAAATTAGCTGGGCATGGTGGCGCGTGCCTGTAATCCAGCTACTCAGGAGGCTGAGGCAGGAGAATTGCCTGAACCCAGGAGGCGGAGGTTGCGGTGAGCCGAGATCGCGCCATTGCACTCCAGCCTGGGTAACAAGAGCGAAACTCCGTCTCAAAAAAAAAAAAAATGAATTCTGTGATTAAGACAGAAAGAACACTTTGAAAATATTTCCAAAACCCAACATGATATTCTGTGTTGTGACACTCGAAACAGTACTGAGTAATCTCTAATATCACTTGAGGAATGACTGTTATTAGAAATTAAATAATACTCAAAGTTGAGCTCTTAGATTTAGAGATTGGGATTTATTCTAATCCAGTGTTTGATTAATTGATGTGCAATAGCTCGGCTTGGTGGCACAAAGAATGCCTGCTGCTTCCCTTTGGTCAGAACATCCAGGACCTAAAACACACCAAAATAGAATACATTAGGATTTCAAAGCTGTCATATTTAAATATTATTCTCATGCTTACATAATTTAATTAAAACGTGATGACTTTTAGAGTGAATAACAACAGGAGAAAGTGACAACATCCATATTAACATGCAGAGATTTTTTTTTTTGAGGGGTGGGGTGGGGAACAAGGTCTTGCAGTCTGCCCCCCAGGATGGGGTGCAGTGGTGCAGTCACGGCTCACTGAAGCTTTGATCTCTGGGGCTCAGGCGATCCTCCTGCCTCAGCCTCCCAAGTAACTGGTACCATAGGTGTACACCACCACACCTGGCTAACTTTTTAAAAACTGTTTGTGGACACAGGGTCTCCCTATGTTGCACAAGCTAGTCTCAAACTCCTAGGCTCAAGCAAGCTTCCTGCCTTGGTCTCCCCAAGTTCTGCAATTACAGGTATGAGCCACCACACGCAGCCTCAATATGCAAAATTTAGAACAGCATTTTTAGTTGCTTCACTGAGTTAGTGATTCCATTTTTTAAATGTTCTGGAAAGACACATTCCCTTATGAAAATGGTGTCATGAAAAAGTAAAATATATGCTCCATACTTAATTTTTAAGCAAAGTCAACTTTTGGAACAGCTTCTTTTTTATAAAATTTGTAAGCAATAATCTAATTTCCATCTTTTAGGGTTAAGCATAGAATAAAATTAATTTTATGTAGGCAAAGTCAGAATTTCAGTTCAGATGAGTAATTTATCTTTTAGTATATTATTTAGGAATGGTGTTTTAAAAAATTAAGTGCATGTTTATTATATAGTTATGTCATTCTTGTCCTTAAGTACATTTTAAAATGAATAAAAACTTTTTGAAAATTTTAAGCATTCTTACTGATGTTTTTTGAGAATTACTTGTTTTAATGTTATAAACTAAAATATAAAATGAGAATAATGTTCCTGTTTCTCACCTATGAATTAATGTTTACCTAAGCCCACTGATAGGAATTATTATTGATGTGAAGGAATGGAATCTGAAATTCAAAATGGCACAGATTCATCTCTACTACAAAAATCTCACAGAATAAATTAATACAGATTACATTAGTGAAACATACTCCTCCTGTTTGGAATTACTAATTACAGTGTAATACATGTATTACAGCCAAAGCCCTCATGTATTTTCAACTTGCTGAAAATATGCATCTTTGCTCTGGGCCCAAACCAGTACAGTCAGGGAACAATCAATAGAAGAAGGAAATTAAATTGAACTTTACCTGTTCTCTTGTGAACCAGCGGGCATCCTCTATTTCATTCTTGTCAACTTTAATTTCTGTAGACACTGCCAGAGCTAAGCAACCAATCATTAAGGAGGAAGGCATTGGCCATGGCTGACAAGAGACATACTGAACATGGCCAACTTTGACTCCACTTTCTTCTTCTACTTCTCTCCTAACAGCATCTTCTATTGTCTCTCCTAATAAAATGGAGCAAAAGAACAAGATGCTGATGAACATGCCCTGGACACTTTGTGTCCTGAATGGTTCAAACATCTGAAAATCACTTTGGACAGAAACCCAATTCAAATCATCAGAAAGCAGAATCTTAAAACTAGACTGCAATCGAAGAAAACCTAATTTTTTAAAGTACGTGACCTCATATATAACATCAAAATACCAACAATAAACTTTTCATTTTTTTTTAAAGGTCCGAATTTGTCAGTTATATTTTAAAAATAATAATTATAGCACCTACAAATATCCAATACCCAATATTGGTTAAATACAATGCAAACACTTTATATCTTATCTCGTTTATATATTGTCCACTAAATAGTTATAAATTAAATATTTTTTAAAAATAGCTCTTTCACACTAAAAGTTTGAAACTCTCCTATTATGCTGTCAAACAATTATTGCGGGTAACTCTTCAGTTCATTCAAAGATTAAAATCCACATAAGATGAAACCTCATAATTTTTCTAAGGAATTGTTTTCCTGTAGATGACTTTTGACTCTGCTATGATAAAGTGATGCCTACACATGTGCTTTATATTTCTAATTTGTTGGAATTAAGAGAATAGGGGAAATCATTTCCAAGTAAAATTTATCTGGAAGTTTGGAAACATTTTGCTAAATATTGCTGTATTTAGCAAAATATAAAATACAGCTTTCTAAGTCAAATAGATTGATAAGTTTCCTTCACAAAAATTTACAACTTATAGTAATCAAAAGAACACATATAGTAAAAAAAAGAATTACAGATTAGAATATATGCAAAAGCATAACAAAAGAATAGCATATACTATATATTTAAGAACTTTTAAAATCAATAAAAAAGGATAAACAATGAAAACAAAACTAGGTGAAAGATAAGCATCTAAAATTCAGAGGAAATAAAATTGAATGCCTAATACGCATTTGAAAAAAGATGTTCCATCAGCAGCAAAATGAAAATGAAACGAGCTACGATTTCATTCACCCCTCAGAATAACAAATTTGAAAGTCTGAAAATCCAAACTTGATGAAGATGTGGCATAATGGAACATTTCATGTTCTGCCGGAGAAAGTGTAAACTGGCAGAAACACTTCAGAGACAACTTGGCAATAGCTAGAAAAGGTTAAGATGCTCATATCCCATGAGCTGGTGGTTCTACTCTATATAACCTAGATAGCTCTTGCCAAGTATGCACAAGGAGAAGTATAAAAATATTAATTGCAGTGCTGTTTGTAATAATAAGAACTTTAAAATAAACTAAATGTCCAATGAGCAGAATGCATAAGTAGTGGAATATTCATAAATGGATTACTACCCAGCAGTTAAGACAATGACCTAGAACTACGAAAGACAGCACAGTGATTTGGAGCAAGGACTCAGAAGCCAGCATGCCCAGGTTTGAATCCCTTCCCTATCACTTAGTTGTTTGACGTTGAGCAAGTTATTTAGTCCCTATGCCTAGTGCCCCAATCAGCAAAATCACTGTAACTGTGTATTTTATAAGGCTGTAGGAGGAACATATTATATATATATAACACAGCCTGATACCGTTTTATGTATATGATCCTCCTCCAGAACATGGCCTGATACCATATGTTTACAATTATTATCTAGCAATGCAAATTAATATTGGAAATTGAAATTGAGATAAAACATTAATTAGATATATTCATTCACTCTGCAAATATTTATTGACCTTACATGTGCTATAGGCATGTGCTATGAGGGTTTGGAATACAGCAGTGGATAAAATTAAGTCCCTGCCCTTATAAAATTTATATTCTTGAAACAGCAGGTAAAAAATTAGTAAGTACATATGTACATAGTATATGAGGTGATGAGTGCCATAGGGAAAAATCAGGCAGGATGATAGGGATAGGGACTGTGAATGCAGGGCAGTGGGGCTCACTAATGTATCTGGGGCAATCAAGTAAGGCTTCTTTGAAAAGGTGACAGTTGAGTCTAGATCAGAAGGAAATGAGGTGGAACCTAGATATCTGGGTCAAGAGCAACATACCAAAGAGGAAATACTGAATTTTTAATAAAACAGACCAAGTTACATATGAGAATTATAACATGTTTAAATTATATTAAAATTGTATCATGTTTAAAAGACTTTAAAATCCAGTTTTGTAACATGATAATTTATCAGGGATTATTTCTCAAATGTTACCTAAACTTTGTATTTTGAAATTATAAGTTAGATAAAAATTAAGAAAAGGCTTACCAGGCTCAATAAATCCAGCAAGGCAAGTAAACATGCCTGGGGGAAATCTTTTCTGCCTGCCTAAAAGACATTTGGTCCCATCTGGATGAATAACTTGCATGATTACTACTGGATCTGTTAAAAACAATCAGATATATGAATGGCAGAAAAAAAAGAATTAAGACTCATTGTGCAAACACTGTCTGATAGGATAATGTAAAGATGTATCTCCTATAGGGACAGAACTCTTGTCTGGTTGTAATTTACGAGATTGCTTCTTTCCGCCCTAATGTAGCTGGTAACAGAATATCTCAGAAATTGTATAGAATAGTGTCAGTAAGCTAGAGGAAGACCATTTTTTGTCCTTCTTACCCCAATCATAATAGCAACATTTATTCTGTACTTATGGACATTAGGTGTATCATTCCTTTTTAATGAAAAAAAATTTGAGTAGGTAATACATGGAAATAAGGAAAATTCAAATTTTACCACAGTAAATAGTTAATTTCCCTCTCCCATCCTATTCCTTAACAAACTGTTTTTAAAAGTAAATGTGATACTATGGTTAGATTTAAGTCATTAAATAAAATTTCAATAACAGTTCATCTCTCTAGAAGTTACCAATTCAGCAAATTCTTCTCACTACATCATGACTAAGAAGTAGGAATTAAATGTAAAAGGCTCCTGAGCAACAAAAACAGATGTCACTAAGCCATGTATTTTTCTCCTCAGAGGCCGCCTCAGGTGTTACTGAGCCTATCTATTTTTTTTTTTTTTTAAAGGTCTGGGTTATCAGATTTCCAAATCTACAGCAGACTCAAAACAGCAATTAGAAGAGAGGGTACAGGCAGACATTCACTGTGATGAAAAGCTAGGGACAGGCTGTACTGCTTTGGTAATGCCTCAAACAGGTAATACATTCTTGGGGCTTTTTCTCCACTAAGTGAAGCCAAACTGGTTGGCTTCTGAAATCATGTATCATAACACATAAATTCATAGTGAGTAACCCCACGTTAAGAAATGGCTATTGATGTACCATGATTTTTACTTGAAAATCATGAAAATATATAACACTTTTAACACTTAACATTCTTAATGGTTAAACATGTTTTTCAGAAAAAGGTAAACTCTTAAGCTCCTCACAAATTTCTCTTTCTAGAATATCTTATTCCCCAAGATCCAGGTGGCTGAGATAGAAAATAAGGGGCTTACCAACTCGTGGGTAGGATGTATTATGAACGCCATTCAGACTAGGACAGTCTTCTTTTAAACATACTCTCTTATAGCCACCTTCTTCAATTTTAGTTCCACTTCCACAGGTTGGGCAAAACTTATATCGACTGTGCCAGGCAAGAACAGATCTTGCTTGAGCTACAACCCCTTAAAAAAAAAAGCGTAAAAAGTTTAATTCTGTGACAAATTAAAATCAATGTATAAGTACATTTTTTCAAGCTATCATCAGAATAGCTGTGTGATCAGGGGTTTTAGTATTTCTAGTTTTATAATGTGCATTTTTCTTTTAAAGTAAAAGATTTAATTTCCTGGATGACAAAAATTAGATTTAACTTCAGTATGAATAAAATATAACTCTCATGTGATATATAACATATATAAGATAGATGTTAGTACGTGTACTAACATCAATCTTATATACTATATTAGATCAGGCTTTTACTGTAGGTGATTTTAAAATGTGGGGTATTCATGATTCTATGAATCATGAGTTTATAAATTGATTTTACAATCGTGATTTTTATAAATCACTATTTATAAAATAGAGTGAGTTTACAAACTGATTTTGGAATAGTGATTCTTATAAAAATATGCCACGAAGGCAGTTCTTAAGTGAGACTTGTACTCTAAAGGAAATAATACTAGGAAACTGTAGGGCTATCACCACTCTCTTGGTGACCATGCCACTGATGGTCCATGCTGTTGTGGAGCACATCCTATTTTCAACTGGAGACTGCATGTACACAGCATAAAACATGCTGCATTTACTACAGTCATGGTTAACTTTGTTTACAAAAAAAATGCCTAATAGAATAAATCTTAAAATATATAAACTTTAGCTAGAGGTTTTATTCTGGTCGTTCAAAAAAGAATATGACCTGGCCAGATATATTACAGTTAAGGCAGTAAGACTAGAAATGCTACATTTTAAATGCTTGACAAAGTTACCTCCCCGCCCCCAAAATACATTATTTGGTCTACAGATTTTTGAAATGAACAACAAAGTAAGAAAAATTCTAACATTGTTTAAACTGGGAAAAAGATAAATAAAACAATTCTAATGACCAGATATTACATTTTTGCCTACTACATGACCTTATAATATGTAATTTACACTAGGGTATTTACATTATTTCAGAATCATCACAATAAGAAAAGTTAACATTTATTGAGTACTTACAATGTGCCAAGCATCATGCCAGGAATTTTATATAGATTATTTAATGTTTAGAGCAATCCTAAAGAAGATAGGTACACTATTACCATTTTCTGGAGGAGTAAACTGAGTCACAGAAAAGTTAAATAACTGTGTAAGCTCACAGAGCAAGAAAGTTAAAGGGTCTCAGTTTTCCTACAAGGGAAATAAAGCAAGCAATTACCTCATTTATCAGATCTTTTTGATCTTGAAATGATATATACAGGTCTAAAGAAAAGAAATTTTCTTTAAAAAGTTTGATGATTTTCCACAGGTATGAATAAAACATACCACATCAGACTTTGAGGAGGAGACATTTAAACAGTCTCTGGAAGGACCGACATCACCTATGGGAAAGTGGTCACTGACATGTGACCTCTTCCTAACTTCCCATTAACTCATCAATCTACCATAATCTGGCTTCTGTTCCTTTCACTTCACTGACATTTCTCTTATCAAATTTGTCAGACAAAGATTCTTAAAAAAAAAAAAAACAACAAAACAATTGCTTTCATCTTACTCAAGTTAGTAACAGTATTCAATACATTTGACCACTCCCTCCTGGAAATACTGTGCTTGCTTGGTTTCCCTGAGGATAGCCTCTTGGTTTCTTCCTACCTCATGGCCACACTGTTTCCAACTTCTTTGATGGCTCTCCTGGCTGTAGTTTACGTTTGAATTTAGGGGGATTCAGATCTGATTCTGAGAGTATTTCTTGCTTGCTCTCAACTCTCCAAGTAATCTCAGTAGTTTTTTGGGATTTAAGTATCTTTGTGTTGATGACTCCTATATGACTATCTCCAGTTCAGACAGCTCCTGATTCATTTCTAAAACTTAGTATGCCCAAAAGTAAACTCTTATTTTATTTACTCCAAATCTGTCCTGCTTTCCTTGCTCTACCCATCATCCTATATTATCAAGAAATGGCATCACTATCTATCAAATTATTAAAGTCTCTAGCTTAGCAGTCATTCCTAATCTTTTCCTTCATATTAGTATATATCCCATAGCCAATCCAACAGCAAAGACCATTGATTCTATCTCCAGTATTTATCTTGCACATCCTCTTTCCTCCATTTCTACTATCAGTACCTTAATTCATGCCATGTTACCATAATCTCTCACTTAAAAGGGTCTTAACCTACAAATCAAGCCCTATCCATTCTACCTCAAGAAAATCTCAAATTCTCTCTTCATCTTCATCTCTACTGCTTCCATTCTAACTCAAGCCATTGCAGTCTCTTACTTGGGCTACTGTAATACTGTACTCAATTCCATCTTAACGAGACTCCCAACGTTCACACTTAATTACCTACATGTGTATATTTTATGCTCTATCACACAGCCAGTGTGCAGTTTTGTTTGTTTTTTTAAAATATTTTAAACAAAGATTAGGTTACATTTAAATGGCCCTTAGAATCAAACCCTAATTTCTTACCATGGCATAAAAAGCCCCAGCAGCAGAAAACAAAACAAAACAAAACAGTGAAGGTCTTTGCCATCATGTTTGCTGTGTAGCATGAGCTCAAGAATGATTCACTTAAAATCATATGAGATCATTATGCACCAGGTTCAATTCCAGGAAATCAGCCTGAGATGATTAGAACTACTAACTGAGAGTAGTCCCATAGGGTAAGAACTGCAGTAGGAGGTTTCTGATGAAGACAGTCTGCTTATTGGAAAAAGTGTGCCCCTGGAAACAGCAAATACAACTCCAACTCCATTCTGAAACCCAGATTTTAAGCAGTGCTCATTTCTTACCAGCTTCTTTTTCTTTCAATTGGAGAAGAGCTGGCATTGGAGGATGAAGAAAATAACAATTTTCATGTCTTTGTTTGAATTCTTCGGCAGCAATAGGATCTATACCTAGAGCAAACCAGGCAACCAACCCATCTTCCTCCTCTCTTGGGACTTCACCAGCAAAATTAAGTAGCTTTTCTTTCATTTCAAGTTCTACTCCAAGGAAAATCAAGGTGATCTTCTCAGGCTGGGCCAAATAATCCTTTATATCTGTGTAGTTCAGCTGACAAAGCCTGACTTCTGGTTGTTGGAAACTTTCTTTATTGCCACCTAGAGTGACCAAGGGATTTAAATCCGAGAAAAGAATAAAAACTGTGGCTGGATGGCTTTCTTTAGCTAGTAGCCAGTCAGAATTATTTCTCTTTTCACTTTTCCGGTCCAGTAGTGTTTTGCTAAAATAATTTTCACATTCTTCCACTTCATTCGTTAGGAACCAAGGCTTCTTCCCACCTTTGGCAGGAGTTAGTAAATCAGCTATATGCTTATAACCCCAAAATACAGCAATATCCAGTGCAGTCTGCCTTGATTTATTGACAAGTGATCTGTCACACCTATAGATAAAAGAAAAAATTGGGGAGAAAAAGTAAAATATGAAGTAAACACTTTCTCCCTTTTATTTCAATAAAATATTTCCAGTTGCATATTATAGTTCTTCTTTTTAGTGATTAAATAGATTTTTTTTTTCCTTCTGGTCCATAGTTTACCATTGGGAAGGTTAAAAGAACTATAATCATAAATGACAAAAAGAGATAGTGGAGATTTACAATTTCTGGATAATTACTTACAAAATAAAAAAGCATTATGCTTTATGAACTATAAAGAGATACCAAAATTCTACAAGAAGTCCTTGGTAGTCATAGTGAGACTTGCATTTTCTATTTGGGAGAAAAATATTAGACTCCTCATAAAATTGCTTTGCTATAAAGTTATAATTTCTGAGTGAAAAAGGTTACAATGTTTTAAGTTAGAAAAATTATGCGACATTTTTATATAAATTAGCCAATGAGTTATCTACTAGTTCAACAATATAAATATGGAAACAAGCAAAATTTAAAAGTAAATATGTAACAAAGAAATTAAACCACAATCCCTTTGAGGTGGTACAGCCTAAAATGTTTACCCTTTCTCAAGCAGAAATTGGACAATCTCTGGGTGCCCATTCCTTGCCGCATACATTAAAGCTGTCCAGCCATTTTCAGAAGTTTCATTGAGAAGAGATGGAGAATGACTGAGTATTCCTGTTAACTTGGCAATATCTCCTTCAGCAGCTGAACAGTGAAACTGTGTAACTATTTCTTGCTTTGGACTTCTTTTTACAGAAGACATTTCTTACTTAAAAGAAGAAAAATAAGGTAAAAAAGCTTATTTATAACTGCTTTATCAATGAATGATATTGCTAGAATAATAGCAAGGGCTTCCAAGGCAATACACTCTTCAAAAGGCAATCATTATACAGCATACATTTCAGAATGTTATCAGTTTAAAATTATAAATACAATGTAATTTATATGTCCACGGGAGTTACACAAAATAATGTATAAAAAGCTCTGATAGTACAGATGAGGGGGCCATATCTTTGGGAGGGGGAACCAGATAACATATTATATAACAAGGAGGTATTTAAGGTAGACCACAGGGGACTTCATTACAGGATAGAGACATGAAGGGGAGAGCATGAAAAGAGATGGAAGTAAAGGCAGAGATTTTCTAAGTTTCACATGAAAAGAGTTTATTTGACCTTGCACAATTAATTCTGTAATCTATTTAGGACCTATTTTTGTTCATGGCGTGAGGTAGGGGTGTCAAGATACTTTTCTACCCCAATGCATAATCCATTGACTCAGCATTATTCTTGAAATTAACATGTTTGTCCCACTGCACTGACACAAGTATGTCAAAAATCAGATGACCATGTATTTTTGGTTCTTTATTGGAGAGTTCTGTTGGTCACTTTGTTGTCCTTGAATCATAGCAGCTTTTAAAAATATTAATATTATCTGCTTTGTTACTCCTTTGTTTCAGTGGGGAAAAAAAATTGAGATAATTGTCCCATACCTCTTAAATATTGCCTAATCGTGGATTGCAGACAGCAGAGCACAAACTAAGCTCTTTGTTTTTCTTTTTTTTGGGGGGAGGGGGAGGAGAGTTGAAATGGTTTATGTTTCAACTGTCTGTGAACTTCTATTTTTTTAAGTACCATTTTTTATATGAAATGCCATTAAGAAAAGATTTGAGATTCTAACTACATTTCTATCATTCTAAGCAGTAAGATTTTTTAGCTAAAAAGACAAAGAATTATAGCTCATAGTTTTTGATAGCTGCCGTCTCCTGGGTTCTGAAAGGGCAATCTGGCTGGTGAATTGAGTAGTAGGAATAGTAGAAACAAAGTTTAGGGAAAACAAGGAGTAAAGATTATTTTTTTTTGTTTTGGAGCTGTTCACTTTTCCTATTTGTGTCTTTCTGCTACTTATAAATAGGTTAAAACTGCTCACAGTCATAAAAACACTTGGATAAAACCTAATAGTGAAAATCTGTTTAGAAATGAAACTCTAGAAGTAGTATCTACATGAGAATAATTTTTTATTTATTCTAGAATTTACTTCGCTATTCTTTTATATTGAAATTTCTAAATACTTTTTAGAAATTAAAGTATTTAATTAAAGTATTTATGTTTTTATGCATAACGAAAGCTATAACTTTTCAGGACTTGACTTTGAAGCACTGCTGTACAATTCCTGTATCGATCTCCCTTCCAAATTGCCTTTCTCTCAAGTTTATTTTCCATAAACCCGTATTATACAGTTTTTTTTCCAGCTAGGTGTACTTTGAATAATATTTCACTGTCTCAGGTTCCGAGGTCACCAGCGTTCCCTCACATTCTCACAGGGCATACCAGGTGACTGCAAAATTGTCCTTCAAAACTGCAGCATCATTCACTACCCCCAGGGCAAAGCTTATGCATATGTTATTCTCTGGAGACAGGAAGTGGAAAATGTACACTTTTCCCTCTAACTTTCTCAGCAGAAAAGCCATCGTACCATTATTCATTCCGGAGAAACGCATAAAGTCTAACACCCAATTGTACTGTTTGATTTACGATTTCAAGTCTCATTGACAGGTTATAGAAGGTAAGGATTTGAAGGCAGAATAAAGTGCTGCCCTTGTGTTCCAAGAAGCTCATGGACTATTCCGAGAAATCATTTTAAAGAATATTAAATTTAAAGGGACATAGATTTTTAACAAACCAACATCCACTTCTACTGCCCGTAACCCGGGGCCCGTGACTTGCGCATGCTCAGATAGATCAAGTGGGGCAGGACAGGACCTCAAATGTCGCTGTGTCACTGACACATTGGAATTCGATCATTTAACGAATTCCATCCACTCCCTGGGCTCTCAAAACCAATTAAGCGCCACCCGTGCACGGCCTCTGAAAACGGTAAAATGCATTGAGATATTTTACTTTCTTGACACTGCTGTGAGATTCCTTCTTTGCAGGTGAAATCACACCGAGTACCACCTCTTTCTCCCCAACTCAGCTTGGGCAGGGAACTCGACCAACCTCAGGGCCGCCTGAGCCTCCGCCCTGTCCCGGGAGCCCCAGCAAACGCGTCCTTGGCTCCCGCGCCTGCGCCCACCTACCCAGCGCGAGGCTGCGCCACACGACCCAGCAGGGCCGGGCAGGGCAGCGCGGGGACCAAAGAGCCCAGGGAACTGGTCACCGCCCCTAGAGGGGACACTGAGACGGCTAACTTGCTGCTGCTGCTACTAACCCAAAGGTCACCACAGTAGAGGCAAGCAGGATACAGCCGAAGGATTAAGATATCCTACTTGCTTTTCTCCGCGCCGAAGGCAGTCTTCCTGACTTCCGGTGGAGATCTGTGGTCTCTCGAGGCTTTATGGGAGTTGTAGTTTGAAGCTCACAAGCTGGGCGCGATGGGAGAAGGGGCGGAGATTGGGAGTGGAGGTGTTTGGAAGCCGGCGCGGGAGATCTCGTCCTAAAGGATTCGTGCTGAATGAAGGGCTGAAAATCCTTCTCCTGACACTGTGATGTATAGACGGAACGCGGTGCAGGCGATCGGAAAACTGTAGGTCTGAGGAAACGATTTAAATTTAACAATGTCTCTCACCCAGTTCCACAGCCCTGTCTCCAATACAGTCCAAGGCAGTTGCGTACTCATTCTTTCCTGTTAAATAATCCTGGAATATTGGCTAGACCAAGTCACTCTTCAGCAAGTTATTTGGCCTCTGTAACACCTTAATCAATCACCCCATGTGAAAACTGGTATTACATACTGAGGCCTAACTCACTCAGTCCTTTCAAAACTATGTATCAAGCGCCCGCAAAACCTCCTTGGGTTGTGAGATTTAAATAGGATAAGCATGCAAAGCTCTTAGGACGCCGTGAAGTGCAGAGCTGGCACCCACATCAAAATTATTGTTGTTATTTTTCAGTTCCTCCGCTTTTATTCTCCTAAACCTACAGAAGTAGAGTCCAAGATTACAAAACTAGTTGTTGGCTGTCTTCTAACTTCCAGAACGGAGCTTTTTCCTTTATTAAATTCTCTCCTTGGTAATCAGCAACAGCTACAGGGTTTCTTAAGATTATTGTTTCCCACGCAGATTTTACCCTTGGAAACTCCTTCTCACTGTGACATTGATTATGACGGCTTCTTCTAACACACTGTGCTTTTTTTTTTTTTTTTTTTTTTGAGAGGGGAGTCTCACTCTGTCATCCGGGCTGAAGTGCAGTGGTGCAATCTTGGCCAACTGCAACCTCTGCCTCCCGGGGTTTCCAGTGATTCTCCTGCCTCTGCCTCCCGACTAGTTGGGATTACAGGTGTGCACCACCACACCGGCTAATTTTTGTATTTTTAGTAGAGACAGAGTTTCACCATGTTACCCAGGCTGGTCTTGAACTCCTGACCTCAAGTGAGCCTCCTGCCTTGGCCTCCAAAAGTGCTGGAATTACAGGCATGAGCCACTGAGCCCAGCCACACTGTACTTTATGTGACTAGTTGTCTTCAGGCTTTAATAATTTCAGTGACCAGACAGGCAGTAAGAAAGGATTAGTTACTTCACTTGGAGTACCCAATGTTGCATTCAAATATATGTTAGATAGATTAGTATAGTGAACCCTCATGTATTAATGATCCAAAGTCAATAATAATTAATATCTATTTCTCCCAGTTCTTAGGATTGTTTTGAAGTAAATTCCAGTCCCTATATTGTTTCGATGGTAAATATTTAATAATAAACTTGTTGGAAATGTGAATTATATCTAAAATATAAGGGCTTTGAAAAATAGGCTGGGCATGGTGGCTCATGCCTGTAATCCCCACCACTTTGGGAGGCTGAGGCCGGTAGATCACAACGTCAAGAGATCGAGATCATCCTGGCCAAACATGGTGAATCCCCATTTTTACCAAAAATATAAAAATTAGCTGGATATGGTGGCACACACCTGTAGTCCCAGCTACTCAGGAAGCTGAGGCAGGAGAATCACTTGAATCCAGGAGATGGAGGTTGCAGAAGTATGTATTGAGCTGAGATTGTGCCATTGCACTTCAGCCCAGGTGACAGAGCAGGATTCTGTCCCCACCCCAAAAAATAAAAGAAAAACAACACAACTTCAATAGAACTAGTATGACATATGTAACAGTAATTCTGTAATAACAGAAACATTCAATATAAAATTTACTCACTTTCCTCAGAAATTTTATATTTTCCAGTTGATTCACTTAAACAAACTCTCCACATTACATTTGATTTTTAAAAATCTGTGGAATCCTTCCTCTTGCCCCCCCCTTTTTTTTTTCTGGCAGTTTATTTGCTGAAGAGTGATGATCGTTTGTTCTAGTTTTTCACATTCTGAATTTTGCAGATTGCATTCCTGTGGTGTCCTTTTCCCCTGTATTTTTTGTAAGCTGGCAATTAGCTTTATAGAATTACTCAGATTAAAGTGTGATTTTATTTTCCACAAAAGACTTTATAGGTGTTATTGTTTACTTTGTTTTGAATACTTTGAAATCTCCTGTGAGGTCTGAGAATTGCTTAAACCCAGGAGGTGGAGGTTGCAGTGAGCCGAGATCACACCATTGCACTCCAGCCTGGGCAACAGGAACAAAACTGCATCTATATTTACTCTGTATTCAATACAAAGTAAACTGATAACATACATGTTATCAACTTGATAAATATTAAAATACAGCAAATATAATGATGAATATATGACATTGATATATAATTATAAATATAAATGTGCAAATATATTTAAATATTAACTTTAAGATAAATATGATATTTGTTATCATACATTTTTCCATCAGCTTTTTAGCCAATAGTTTTATCAGCCATTCATTATTGTCCACATTCATTATTTCCTTATGAGTTGCAAAATAACGATATTCTAATTTGATATTCACATTTACTAACAAATTATTTTGTAATAAAGAACTTCATCTAATTAGCTTATGTGGAAAGAGGAAAAATATGTGATTTTCATAATTATTTTAATTTTCTGAATAATTAGTTCCCTAATAACCTTCAGGTTTTTAAATATATAAACATGCCTTGTTTTATTGTACTTTGCTTTACTGCACTTCACAGATAGTCCTTTTTTTACAAATTGAAGGTTTATGACAACCTTGTAGCAAGCAAGTCTATAGGTGCCACTTTCCCAACAACATGTTCACTTTGTATATCTACCACATTTTGTAATTCTTGCAACATTTCACACTTTTCCATTATTTTATCTGCTATGGTGATCTGTGATCAGTAATCTTTGAGGTTACTTTTGTAATTGTTTTGGATTGCCACAAACTACACCCATTCAAGTTGGCAAACTTAATCAATACCTGTAGTGTGTGTTCTCACTGCTTCATCCACCGGTTATTCTTGTCTCTCTCCCTCTCCTTAGGCCTCCCTATTCCCTGAGACACAACAATATTGAAATTAGGCCAATTAATAACCCAACAGTGGCCCCTAAGTGTTCGAGTGAACGCAACACACACATCTCTCACACATTTTAAATCAAAAGCTGGAAATTATTAAACTTAGTGAGAAAGGCATGTCAAAAGACAAGACAGGCCAAAAGCAAAGCCCCTTCTACTAAAGAGTTCACCAGGTTGTGAAGGCAAAGGAAAAGTTCTCGAAGGAAATTAAAAGTACTGCTACAGTGAACACATGAATGGTAAGAAAGTGAAACCGCTTTATTGCTGATATGGAGAAGCTTTTAGTGGTCTGGATGGAAGATTAATCTAGCCATAGTATCTCCTTAAGCCAAAGCTTAATCCAGAGCAAAGTGCTAACTCTCTTCAGTTCTATGAAAGCTGAGAGAGGTGAGGAAACTTCAGAAGAAAAGTTGGCAGCTAGCAGAGGTTTGTTCATGAAGTTTAAGGAAAAAGCCTTCTTTATAACATAAAAGTGCAAGTTGAAGCAGCAAGGGGTGTTGGAGAAGCTGCAGCAAGTTATCCAGCAGGTCTAGCTAAGAGAATTGATGAAGGCAGCCTAACTAAACAGCAGACTTTGAATGCAGAAAAAACAGCCTTCTATTGGAAGAAGATGCCATGCAGGACTTTCATATTAAGGGGCAACAAATCAATGCCTGGCTTTCAAACTGCAAAAGACACACTGATGCAACTGGTGACTTTGAAGCCAATACTCATTTACAATTTTGAAAATCCTGGGGCCCTTAAGAGTTCTGCTAAATCTACCCTGCCTATGCTCTCTAAATGGAACAACAAAGCCTGAATGACAGCACATCTGTTTACAGCATGATTTACTGAATTTTAAGCCTACCATAGACGCCTGCTACTCAGAAGAAAAGAGTTCTTTCATACTATTACCGTTATTTGACAATGAACCTGGTCACTCAAGAGCTCTGATGGAGATGTACAAGGCAATTAATGTTGTTTTCATACTTTCAGGCACAACATTCTGCAGCCCACAAATCAAGGAGTAAATTTGATTTTCAAGTCTTATTATTAAACAAATACATTTTGTAAGACTATGGCTGCCATATATAGGGATTCCTCTGGTGGATCTTAGTAAAGCAAATTGAAAGCCATGTGGAAATGATTCACCATTCCAGATGTCATTAAAAACATTTGTGATTCAGGCTGTGGGCAGTGGCTCATGCCTATAATCTCAGCACTTTGGGAGGCCGAGGCGGGAGGATCACCTAAGGTCAGGAGTTCAAGATCAGCCTGGCCAACATGGTAAAACCCCATCTCTACTAAAACTACAAAAATTAGCCTAGCGTGGTGGCAGGAGCCTGTAATCCCAGCTACTAGGAGGCCCTGAGGCAGGAGAATCACTTGAACCCAGGAGGCGGAGGTTGCAGTGAGCCGAGGTCACGCCATTGCACTCTAGCCTAGGACAAGAGTAAAACTCTATCTTAAAGAAAGAAAGAAAAAAGAACATTTGTGATTTGTGGAAAAGATCAAGCTATCAACATGAACAGGAGTTTGGAAGTCAACCCTAACAGATGACTTTGAGTGGTTTAAGACTTCAGTGGAGGAAGTAACTGCAGATGTGGTGGTAGTAGCAAGGTAATTCAGATTAGAAGTGGAACCTGAAGATGTGTCTGAATTGCTGCAATCTTATGATAAAATTTGAATGAATAAGGAGTTGCTTCTTATGAATGAGCAAATGTAAGTGGTTTCTTGAGATAGACTGTACTTCCTGGTGAAGATGCTGTGAATGAACATTATGGAAATGACAACAAAGGATTTGGAATATTACATCAATTCAGTTAATAAAGTTTGCGAAAATGGGGGTTTGAGAAAAGGGACTCCAATTTTGAAAGACATTCTATTATTGGGTAAAATGCTATCAAGCAGCATCACATACTACAGAGAAAATTTTTGTAAAAGGAAGAGTAA